TACATATATGTTAGTGTTGCCAAAACAATTGGTCTTGATCTTGTATTTTGCAATACCAAGACGAAGACTGCCTAACTGTTGCAAGACCAAGACCATGACTGGTAAAAAAATTAAGGCAAAATAGTTACTAATATTTGACAAATTTAATTACTGTTAGTAGAGAATTTTTTTGACTCAAATTAAAGCAGAGTGAGGAAAGTGGGTTAAAATATGTTTTTGAAATGGTTAGGATGGATTTACATTTGTATTTGACTATAACTCAAAAAGTAAACAAATGGTACTGCACTGTTTTGTTTTGTAAGAACATATAAGATCAGAAAAAAATTCAGAAGATATGTTAATTCATTTATCATTTATGTTTCCCTCAAATTTTTGCTGAAATGATTATGGTTGAATTTTGACCACTGGGCGGACACTAGTATTATTAAATAGCTTATTGGTGAGCTGGAACAGGAGTAAATCACTCGATAGTTTAATGACTAATAAAATAAAACACTGCCCTTCCTAAATATATAAAATGTTTACATATTTAATCGTACACATAAAATATGTAATATATACAAAATATAATAAAAACAAACAAAAAAATAGCATGCTACGGTACTTACTCGTTATATGTGTCTTCATAAATGTATTGCTGCTCTCCACTCTCATTAGTCCAGTCATTGAATGATTATAGAAGGATATGGTGGGGACACAATTTTAGACTTTACGACATTCTTTGGACCATTAAGGAGGTAAGCATACTAAAAAAAAGCCCCCACTCCTAGGTGGTGAGCCAGATGTGAGCGGGGGAGGGGGAGGAGGGTGCGCCTAGCTAACTCTTGATTGCTTTGTTTTACAACAAGTTAAAAGGTATATATTGCAAATTTTATCAACCTTAATTTTTTATAGAACATCTTTGTCGATGAGATGGATAGTTTTCCTAATATAAGCGAAAAAGTGAAAAAAGTGACCAGCTAGGCGCCTTTCCTCTCCTCTCTCCATATCTGGCTCATCACCTAGGAATAGGGACTTTTAGTATGTTTATCCCCTTACTAGTCTAAACAATGCCCTAAAATCAAAAATTGTGTTCCCGCCATTTCCTTCGATACCCCACTTTTGGAGCATTCATTGACTGGACAACATTGTACCTAATTTATCAAATTTTATAATTATTTATGATTTAAAAAAATTGACTTATAAACAAATATAAATATTGTCCTAGTTATTTTGTAATGTTAAAATGACTTTAAAAATTTAAATTGTTGCAAAAATATTTATAAAAAAAGTATAAACGTTTTAACAATTTGAAAAAAAAATTAAATTAAATTAAGAAAAATATATAAATATCCAATAAGAAATTTGTGTGTGTAATGAGAGGAGCCCGCTGCTGTAGACTAAAGACCCTGAAACCCTCAACTCTCACATAAAAAAAAAAATAAAAACCATAAATATTAACAATAATTTAATTATATTTAATTTTAATATTTAAATATCAATAAATTGAAGTATTTTGTTAATTAATTATGATATATTTAACAATATTTTCTAATTCATTGAATATTTCATTTTCTATAATCGTGTAATCACTTAAATGAATCTGATGATTTATTAAAATATTTTGATTGATAGTAAATTGAAGTATACTTTTACTGTATTTTTTAAAGAATCTGAATAATAAAAAAAATAGTTAAATTTTAACAATAAATTTTAAAATTACTGATGATAAATAAACCTAACAATTGTGAGAGGAGGTTGCTGAAGTACATATAAAAAATATAATACATTCCCATGCTGCATGCATAAAACACTGCCCACTGAGGAATTTGTTCCCTACCTATCTTAGGCAACTGTGTACTTAATCTTATCTTAATTATGAAATAATGTAGTCATTAAAATTAAAAATTGAAATTACTTTATTTATCTAATATATAGAATTTAATTTTAAACTATCAAACAGTTGTAATGCGTAAGATATAAATATTTTAAAAAAATAATCCTTAACCAGGATATAGATTAAAAATTTATTTATAAGTTGCTATAATAAAAAAAAATGTTTAAATGAAATATCACAGTATATTGAATACAGTAAAAATAAAATTTCTAAATCTTCAGACTATAATGATCATGCAAATTCCCAAGCAAAAAATGGATGCATGCATATCCAATGTCCAAAGTGGGCAGGGACTATGGTCCAGATCAAATATAATTTTAGAGAGATGAAATTAACTCATAATGATAACATGAAATGTAAGAGAAATAAAACACTATCAATCATATCATTTAAAAAAATAACTTAAATTTCTTAAAAGATCATTTGATGACTTAATACTGATTGAGGTATGGACCATAGTGCATGCTTAGAACTTGTTCCACTAACCTCACAGCACACGAGGACTGCTTACAGAGACCTGAAGGTCTACTGGTTCTCAGCCCTATAGAACAAATAAATATGTATTAAAATAAAAGAAAATCAATAATTTATTGGCATTTTAACATATACAAATAAAAAATTTTTTTTCCTTTCAAGCCAAGTGTCTCCTTCATTCATAAAGCTCTATGTCATGGTATTGTCTATTCAGTAACTGTTAATGAAATATCATTTTCAATAATTAAGATTAGTATGGATTCACTTAGATTAAAGAACTTAAGTTTTTTTAAAAGTTTTATCATATATATATATATATATTATCATACTATACTATACTATTACAACTAACTCTTACCCAGCTGCTGTTTTGACGCAGATGGTCTCAGAGCCTGCTTTGAAATCTCATGATCTATGAACTTCTGGAAGACCGCACCAGTTATGTTTAGATGTTTCTTGAACCTGTAATTAAAAGCCTTTGAAATATAACAATAACTCAGTATATTATAAAATAAGGACTGACTTTGGACTACATGCAAAAAGCATGGTTGGATAAAATTGCTTGAAGATGGGTTACCAGCCGAAATATAGCTATGTAAATTGAAATGAATATGGTGAAGAAATAAACACAGCCTTATTTTATAATATTAGAAAGTTTTCACCTAAAACAAGTACATATGAACTCAGTATACCTTCTTATTATATTATCTTACATACTATATTATATTGTATAATATTGTTACATTATTTTATAATGTTTATACAGAATAAATTACATGATTTCATATTGTACAGTTACAGTATGTATTACTTATTTCCAAATTGGTTTAGTTTGCCATACATCATTCAAGCACTGAAAATTGGTAGACAAAAAAAGTATATAAAATTGGTAGAGCCAAAAATTTAACTATATACAAATGAGTGGAGAAATTTTAGAAGATTAAAACTTGTAGAGGATAGAAATTAGAAAAGAATATTTAATGAAAAAGTGCAAATAATATTTTTTATCAACCTTTATAATTAACATTATAGTATTTTGATATTATAATATTAACATTATAATATAATAACTATATTTATTTACTAATATTTTAACATGAAATATCTTTAATCAGGGGAGGGGAGGGAGAATAAATATTTATGGATCAGGAAGGGATGCTTGTCAATAGGTAAACATGAGTTACGTTGTTGCTCTAAATACGTAAGATTCGACTGTTACAGTGCACTTGATCATCAGTCAATTAAATGGTTTAGGTGTAAGGGTGCTAATATTAAAAATAACAGTATCATATAACGTTTAGTTATAACCAAGGCCTGGATTTTTATGCAGTGAAAATCCACAGAATATGTCATGTAATATGCAGTAAGAAAAATAGGGTTTTTTATCAGCAGCAAAATATTCAGTAAAATAACATGAAAAATGCAGTAACTGATCACTAAATATGCTAAACTAACTAATTATTTTATTGCTAATCAGTCAGGAACGTATAATATAATGATATAATGATGTATCTACAAACATTTATGAAATAAAAAATAAATTATGGAGCAATTTAAAATTTACAATATTTTTTTTAAATATCTAAACTAAAGAATGAAAATAACTAAACCTATATGTAAAATAAAGTCATATGTACATATATACATAATAATGGTCAAAAACATTGCATGAACCACATAAAAAAAAATTAAAATATAAAATTATACAAAGTAAATTATTATTATTATAATGGCGCTATGGTCCTGCAAGAACCGGGCTTCCTCCACTACACTATGTTCTAATTCATATAGATATTTGATGGGTGGTTAAAAAAAATCATGCAAACAAAATGTGCAATTACATAAAAATCCGCGCTCTGATGATTACGTAACTTACAACTTTTGCTGAACTAAAATTGTTGTATTTATATATTATACAAGAGGAGGGAGAATTTTTTTTCATTTATCTCTTGCAGAGACAAGCCTATTTTGAAACAAGTTTCTTTCAAAATGTTGAAATATAAACAATTATCAATTTTCAGAAATATGGTGTCTGCATTGGTTGTTATTTAATTTTTATTTTTACCTATATAGGAAGAGCTGTTCAGCTGTACATCCTCCATTCCACATGATAATTAAAAATTTGGACGAGCAGGTTATTGGCAGTCCAGTCCTAGTATGGTTGGAGGGCTGCCCCTCAGGGTAACCGAACATACCCTTCTTACTCAAAAGAAACTCCTTGGGAAGGTTGCCCTAGGGTGTTAATTGTAGTTGGCCTTATGTTAAATAAGACTGTTAAGTGTACTTTTCTGGTGAGTATCTATGGTGTATTGAACTGTGGTAACTCGTGGGGCCGCTACTCCCTAAGTATCTGCATGCAACAGCTACTCCTTGCGGGATATGCCTCCAATGGAATGAGAGAAGATGTTTGGTAGAAGACCGGCCGAGCTGGAGAAAACTCTATAGACTTCCTTCTCACACCGCATAGTCAGTACTAGAGGAGAGAATATGATGATGACGATGTTGGAAAGGTGAGGGAGAGAGGGGCAGTTGCTCTACCTTGCCCCTCCGCTGGCTAAACTCATGCAAAAACAAATGAAGACTGTGAAACCTCAGCTGATAAAATTTGTTTATTAACTTATTTAAATATATTTTTCTTAAATAGTTCATAATGGTTGATTTTTGTTTCAGGTTCAGCAGAGGACTGGTAATGCGAACAGGAAGGCAAGGCAAGACAGAATTAACTTCTTACTATCCCTATAGCTGTGGTGCCAGTGGGGAAAGTCCTATAGGCAACTCCAAAGAGCGATTATCACCAGACAGGTATTCATTTAGCTCTCTTAATAAGAAATTAGTAAACATTCTATACTGGAATATTTCACAAGTTTAGATCACGACTACTTCATGTGCATTTATAGTATTTCATTAAAAGAAAAAAAAGAAAAAAATATTATGTGAAGTTGCCTCAACTTCCATATATCCATGCATAGCTGTTAATTCTGACGTTCTGTAATAACCTCTCACAATAGTACATTGTTTGCTGATGAAAAAACAATTCTTTTTTTACAAAAAAATGACTTCTTGCATAACATTAATATATATATTGGTTAGGTGGTTAATCAGATAGACTGTATATTTCACAGTTGAGGAATTATAAAACCACTGCACCATCAAATATGCTGAAAAATTGGACTCTTGATTAAAGGAACTTTATTGTATTGTTAATACCACCACAATATTTTATGGTTATTTTGAATAAATAATGTTAAATATTTCTTTGAATCAAACAAAATAATGTTGTTTCTTTTTGCAGCATCTGTGAAGGATTGTCTGGTCTCAGCGGTTCCTGCCAAATCCATGGTCCATCTCTTGTCTCGGCAGACACAGAAGAGATGACGATATCGGAATCAAAATCACCTCCACTGCTGAGGTCTCCAGCATTTTCTCACTCTCGCTGCCCTCCAAACATGCACAAATCTTGTTTTTGTGTAAGATTCATTGCAGAACATACTAAAATGCAAGAGGATTCAACCAAGGTAATACAAACATTGCTTTATCTTATCTTCAGTTTAGATAAATGGTAGAAGATTCATTCTCAGTAGATGATTCCATTAAAATATGAAATGTTCATTATCTCAAAGAGCTTATGATAAATGAATTTGCTCTATTCATTTTACGTTTAACTTTTCCTTCTATGTTCTAAATATCTAACTTCTAATGTTCTAAAATCTAACTTTACTTCAGCTATCTTGAAAAGAACTTTTCTTTCATAGACATTCATTCTCCTTTCTGGAATGCCTATTATATACCAAGTACCACAACTATAAAACAGAGTTAATTTTTTTTGTAACTGTAATTTTATTACAGTATATATGAGGGAGAGAAATCATTCCCGAGAGTAAACAGATTCTAATACTACAGCTACACAATAAACTCAAAGAGTGAACAAAAGTCAGAAATAGACCAGCGTATAATAAGCATGAACTTTTGTCTTAATAAGAAAGAGCTTTTATCTCTCTTTCAAAGGTTTTTAAATTCTTGACAGTCTCTATAAATCTCAAATTAAGGTTGTAAAATGATATAATAAAGCTATTTCTGATTTATGGGTGTGAAGCATGAACAATAACCAGCATACTTGGCGGGAAAATCCTAACTAGTATAAAGAACTGCTCACAGAAAGTGGTCAAGCAATATCTCATGATAAAATAACTAGAAGGTTAAGATAGGTGGATCTTATAGCTTACAGCTACAATTCAGCAGCAATCCATCAGGAAACCTCTAAGCACCATTGCCTCAATAGTATATGAGAGACGTGTGGGCGGGATGGCCGAATGGGATAAAGCGTGTACACAGCACCACTGTTGAGCGGCAACCTGATATATGACTCAAATGATATGAAAATAGTCACGAGTTCGCGTCCCAGTGCCGGGGGTCTTTTAAATCCCCTGGCCTGGGAAAACCCCATGTAGCCTTAACGGTGAGGAAGGGGAGGACTGGTTAAGGCAGCAAAAGATCTAATGGTCAGTAAAGCCAATAGAAAAATAAAATACGCCAGGAGATTAGGATTTTGACCATTTAACTAAAAAAATTATACTATATATGTAAATATTTGAATGTATGATTATTGCAGGAGACGACTCGAAACTAGGTAAAAAAAAATTATCTACATCTAAGAATTTAATTGATGTTTTTCTTTTTTTGCCCAAATTCTAGGCAATCTCCTTAAAACATTAAACATAACATTCATATAGAATCTTATTCATATGTATTGGGTTGGCAAATAAGTCCTTTCGGTTTTTCAGGGTAAAATAAAATTCAATGTATTTTTTTATTTATGCACAAAGTTTCTTTTTCTTCTTAACTTCTTACCCTGACATTTTGGGAAGATGTGACTATTTTCTCTACCGGAAGATATCTCCAAAATGATGGCTCAACCATTGGATTTGATGAAGAATTAACAAAGACATGGTGTACCAACAAAAAAACCTGTGAGAAATAATATATGAAGATATTTTAAGTTGATTAGGAATCCATGGCAACTGTGCCATTAAGATTCACTATCACTAGTACCTTTAAAACACAATTCATCTTGTCTGGATCAATTGACTTTTGAAACATCCTAATTTTTTCAATGACATTTATTGTAAATGTCATAAGGTTTTAAGTTTATAAGGATTCAGCAGTTCTTCATGAAAATTCCTTTCATTTGATACTATAATATTTGATACCTCATTCATTTAAATCCATCTCTCTTTAGGGACGGAAAAAGGACCTGTTCTACCATATTATATATAGAATAGATAAGTGTTTGAAATAGATATGTATAATATTATTAAAATTATAACATTAATTAAATTATAATACATAAATTAATTTTTTTTTATAAGCTAAGAAATACTGTTTTAACAGGTTAAAGAAGACTGGAAATATGTAGCCATGGTATTGGATAGATTATTCCTATGGATATTTACATTAGCAGTGCTTGTTGGTACAGCAGGAATCATCCTTCAAGCACCAACACTGTATGATGATCGTGTTCCAATTGATAAAAAGTTTTCAGAGTTTGCAACATCATTAGTGAGGTATAGAAATCCTTCTACATTATATTTAATCAATTATGCATGAGAACATTATAATAGCTTTAGTTTAATAGTCATAAATATTCTTAAAAAGAATCAAATTAACTAGTATATACATATCTTATATCATGGTAATAAATGATAGTCCAATTTGATATTTCGGAAACTAATATTTGTTTTTTGAATTTTAGGAAACCTAAAATCAGCTCTTCTATACTGAATGAAAATTGATAGTGGAAAACATTGGACGGCATCATAAATTAGGCAAGATATTTAAAGCATTGTTTTCATTAAAATCCATTGCAAAGAAAAATATTCTGTTTTTTTTTTTTTTTTTTTAGAAAGGCAGCCATTCTACTATTAGCTCTTGATAAAATAACATTTTTAATAATAATAAATTAATGAATAAAAAACCACATGGATAATTGAAATAACAAATTCACCATACCTACTTCTAAATTGATTTGATAATATTTATGTGTGAATTCAAAAATGGATGCCCTTTAAGTACATAAAATTGATATTTTAATAAACTATTTATTTATTTATTTTGATACAAGTTCATAGTTTTAGCAGATTTTATGAGTGATAATGCATATTTTCGAGGGTAATTTCAATAAAGCGCTGATTTTTTTCTGATTCTGCACTAAAAAATAAATCAGTTGGAATAAAATAACCTAAAGGTCTGGGCAGAGCAAAGTTAAATATAAATAACATACGTTTTGTTTGAAATTATATACAATATTTTTTTATTGGCTCCTATGACCCATTGGAATGATTGCTGAAACATGTGTCCAAAATTTGTTGATATAGTACCACCAGTGACATAGTAGTGATCGTAAACCCTTATAAGTTCTATACAATAATTAATTGCTTATAACTTCATTTCACAATGATTATCATATAAACCAATAAGAAAAAAAAGCACATTCAAAAATGTGCTTTGAGACCATTCAAAAGATATACTCGTATCTACAGTAAAAAAAATTATTACAATAATAAACAGCATAAAACCCCTGAAATGTCTTGAGCTTAATAATTTCTAAGCTACACATTATATAGGAAGTGATAAGGTCAGAATCCAATCTTAAATGCCAGGTTATTTATTTACGAAACAACTAAGGATAATTAATCTACTTTATTGAGTCTGGATATGTCTTGGGCAATCCAGCAAGCCAACTTTGGCATTGCCTTGATATTTAATAATTCAGTTTTCCAGGTATTAACTTTCATTGCGAAATTTCATTCGAAATATTATCTCTAAGTGTTTCAGTACACTTGGACTTAATAACAGCTTATAATTTAATCTCTATTCCATATCCATGATATTACCAGATAGATACAGAATAGATAGATGCGGAAGGCATTATTATTAGCCATACAGTGTTAAAGGAAAGTAGCTCATAAAATTAATTATTTTATAAAAAATTAGCAATAATTATACATTATTTGATTTTCAGAAAATGAAGAAAGGCAGCACTAATATGGAGTGGGTAACTTTGGAAATATAATGGTATCATTATATGAATCTGATGTGTTATGCATTTATAACACTTAGCGAGGTTAAACTTTGTAATTATAGAAAATGTATTGTAATTGATGTAAACATTTATGGTACACAGGGAGAGGAAGAAGTCAAGGAGTTTGTCATTTTATAGAAAAAAACAAAACAAAAAACTTTAGATTTTCAGCTAGGTTTATCCGAGGATTACACACAAGAAGTGCCAAGGAAATAAAAGATTTTTTAATGAAGTACAGATTAACGAAAATATCCCTTGTGGTTTAACGCCTTGCTTCTACAGCTCAAAGATTGAAAAAAAAAAAAGTGGTACTAGAAACACTGGTACATTGGAAGCTATAAATAAAGTAGTAATTGTTATTTAATTAGTTTTTAATGAAAACAAATAAACATTAGAGCCTGACTGGCTATTTTGTCCAAAAAACTGTGATAGTTTTTTAAAAGACAACAAAAGGTTATTATTTTGACAAAATAAAATAAATAGTTAGATGATAAAGAAAATCTAATTTTTCAAAAACACGATCGTTAATTTTTAAAGAAAACAAAATGAAAACTTTTTTTTCAGATTTTTCATAAATTTATAAATACAAGTTATTTTTCAAATATTTAATTACAAGAATAATTATAGTTTATTTATTTTTCTTGATTATATTTAGAAAAAAAAAACATTGGTACTTTCTAATGCAAGTTGTTAACATAAGATTTTATTTTAAAGACAAAACTCTAAATTTTAGATGACATCAGAAATTCAAAGTATGAATATAATTTATTTTAATAATAAATATTTCATCTCAACTCAGTTTTAGTCATGGTAAATTAAAATTTACTTTAAAATATTTAAACAAATAACAATTTTTTGTATGCTAAAAGTCACAATAATAAAAATAAAAGAATTTTTCATCTTTCGTGGGTGAATATTTATTTTTATTATTATTTTTTTTATCTCAGTAACACTTTTATAGATAATAAGTGGACTAAAACTAGTCTAATCATACTTGTTAATGAAACTGTAGTTTATCTCTTCTCAAAGTGTAATTAAAAATTAAATAAAATTACACAAATTGAAAAGATTAATTGATGTGTATGAAAATACACATAAGTATTTATGCCTTGAATTTTATCATATAAAAATATATTTATATATTTTCTAAGAACTAATGCTAATATATTACTGAATTATTTGCCTTTTTTGGAGATATTTACTGACTTATGATAAAGTCGATATTATGTCAGTTGTGTAAAGTATGAGGATATAACATTGCAAAAAAACAAAAAAAACAAGATCATTGCTTATACCTAGGCATTATTTAGAAAAAGAATATTTAAAAATTGATATTTTTATTCATCAAATAGTTTGCCCCAAGTTTCAAATGTCATCAGTTATAAATTCTCAATGGAATGAACTAGCTCTTTTCTAGTAAAACTTTGTGGCATACAGATTTTTCATTTCAACCAATATTATCCTAAGATATTGTTCAATTTGTTGTTTTATTCACACATTCAGTCACCATTCATTCCCTACGTCTTGAAATACTTTCATGAGTAGATCATTCATCTCTAATATAATTGTTTAAAAAAAAAATTAATATCATTATGGGAGGTGAATATAATTCAATTGGATTAAATCCGAAGCACTCCAATAGATCTTGTTTTTAAGGATGTTATTATCTTTACATAAAAATATTTGATGTGTACAGTTTTTAGAGAAGAGCTACAGTTAATTAAATATTAAAAGAAATTTTGTGCATTAAATAAAATATTATCTTCAATGAAATGTGACTTTGTAATTATATTGTTAATGGTACAATTTATCATAAATCTCAAGTTAATAAACAATAACAAAAATCTAATATTAGATAAATAATTTTACCAATAATGGTGCTAATAAACATTTGTTTGTTACTTAGAATAGGAGATTAGACTAAAAATAAATAATATACAATGCAGAATGTATTCCAAACACCAGCTTTATAATATATTTTGGTAATAAATGTGCATAGTCCTGTCCTATAAAATGAAGAAAGAATGTGTATTGTTAAACTAAATAAGATAATATTGTTTTGTTTTTTAAAAATTAAAATAAAGGTTTGTAAAATGTCCACTTTGCACAAATGTTTTAAGATTTAATTCAATATTTGTAATTATTTTTTTTAAGATAATATTTGTATAGATAATTTTTATATAATATTGTAAAGAGATCAAATCGCAGAAACAGTAAATTTGAATTTCTTTAAGTTCTTAATATTATTTAGAAAAAATTATCGTGTCATTATATTTAGTTGTTTCTTCATGAGCAAATCAGTATGAACAGCCATGGTTGATAGTGAATGGGGGAACCAATAATCATTCTTACTTTGATTACTTGTACTTAACTCATTTGTAATTATATGAGAACTGAATTCTGTCTAATATCTGAACAATGTTTCATGATTTGTGGCGTGTTACATTCGACTTAATAAGTTAAACCTGCTCAAACAACTGCAGAATAATTGTAAATATTTCAAATAACTATATCTTTAGATTGTTAAAAGGCACGATAGTATATGAAATAATAAAAATAATGCTTGAGATATTGAAATTTCTTAGGTTTAAAGAACCCTCTTGGGTATTAAGGATATCTATGTGAGTTAGACATCTCTGTAGTATTCTAGGGTAATGAAAAAAAAAACAATAACAATGGTATTCATATCAGTATACTGTTTCAGAATGGACTGGTGTCTTATAATGTTAATTTAAAATAATTAATAAAATAATCCAAACTAAACAAGAAAAAATTGTTTCCCCATACCATCAGTAAAGTTTACCAATGTTGATTTCAAGACTATTTTAATATTTTTGTGCAAGGAACATGTTTTTTAGATGATAATTCCTTAAAAAGTATTATGAAAAATAATTGAAAAAGCAAATAAAATAAATCTATCATGACTATTGATTTATATGACATTGGTGTCAATTATTAGATTATTACTAATAATAAATATGAATTTACGGTTCAATTTTTATTATTTATTTATTTGGTTTTTGAAAATAAAAAAAAAGTTGCATAAAACATGTTCCAAATTTTCTATTCTTTGTTATAAGTCTGTTACTAGAACAATGCCAAGAAAAGTGACACAAAAAAACAGGATGCTGTTTATTTTTTTTTAATTGAAATTACAGCAGGAATAAAACTCGGGAATGTACATAACTTATTGTGAACGTAGAAATAGTTGTTGAGTGAATATTAAAATATATAATTAAAGTTTATACTGTTGTTTTATACAAATGATTAAAAATAAATTACTTATCGTTAAAGTGAAGATCTCTAATAAATCTTCAACATTTGTATAGTAATAAATAAATGAGACCGTGTGTTTTGATGTTAGATTTTAGGTGAGTGGAAATTGTAGAGAGAAAATAAAGATTGTTAAAATAAATTGTTTTCTTATATCCAATTTACCCATCAGTTTTTTTTATTTTTATTATTTATTTTTTCCATAATTTATTTTTAAATATTTACATATATAACTATAATATCCATATAAATTCACAAGCTTTGTCCTTGGACTGCCCGAGAGCGTTTTAATGAAAGAGGATGGGAGTTGGTTTGAAAATTGTGGCACGAGGCCTTCATTGATAACATTAATTGAATGGAAAGGGGCAGCTCTAGTTTATTATAGCTATAATAAACTTGATTAAACTAATAAGATAATAATAAATTATTATAGCTAGT